TCTGTTATATTAATGACCTATATTTTCTGAAATTAGTATTTATTTTTATAGAGTTGTGTCCTACTACAGACATTTCTGTAAAGGTTATCTCATCTGGAAACAGGGTGTGTCATGTTTGGAGATGTTTCATCATGCAAATTTACTTTAGAGATAGACTTTTCCTTGGAGACAGAGCTGGAATTGGAGAGATAGTGTTTATCTAGATTACAAAACTCCAAAGCTTTTCTATCTTTTCACGTCAAGTATATATACATTGTTACAAAACAGGAAAAGACCAGGACACACACATTTTTTTCACTCCTTACTTTCTGCTTTATATTGTGGTTGCTTTATCATGTCTAAGTATGGGCTATAAGGGGACAAAACCCCACAGAGCATGCTTCAACAGAAAGATAGAGATATTATCATAACCCAAAGAGTGAACTGAAAGAATGAGACTGTCAAGAGTTTGCTAAAATCCCTTCAGCCATCAGCAACTTCATTGAGTGATTCAGTTTGGGGATTAATAAAATTATTTATGAATTCAGCAAGACAGCAAGAGGAAAAAAAAAGAAAAAAGACTTTTTATTTTAAGATTTTCTTAGTGATATTCTGCATCTTTTAGTTCTATGTAGAGCCTGGGGTGCTCAAAAAAAAATCAGTTTTTATGATTTTATGCTCAAGTTATATCTGCAAACAACTGACAAGCAAGGAAGAACACTTCTAAATGGCTGTCAAGGAGTCTATTTCAATTAAATAGCTAAAGTCACTTCATGCTTTATGGTGGTAAACGTCTGACCCCAGATCCATTCAGAATTTTGTATTTTGCACAAGTTATTTATCTTAACAATGCATCACTTACCAATGACACCAGAAGGCAGGAAGTGTAGGAAACAATAAATTCCCATTGTTGACACAATTCTCTTTCATAAATCGAACCAGACATTTGCTGACAAGCCCGCCACAAATAATATTCAGCAATTGCAGCTACTATTATTGAGGCTAGGAATGTCTAGCTAACATCAGTTGCTTTTGCTAAGACGAGAAAGCCTGTCTAGCTAACTTCAATTGATTTCATTAAAATGAGGAAGCCTGTCTAGCTAACATGTCCTCAGGCCATCTACCAGGAAACATGATCTTTCATAAAGTTTTTGAAAACACTCATCCACTGGTGAGTGTCTACAGATGAGTGAAAGTGTCAAGACTTTACCTCTCTAACAAGTGTTACTTAGACATATTAGTTATTTAAGTGACGACACTTCTGAGGTCACAGCTTCATCAGTGATCCTCTATGGGAATAAGAGAAGCAATTACAGAGGCATTGTAACTTCTGTCGTATAAGGGTGATATATTTAGCTGTTACTGCACTGGTATTACATGTACATGGAACATCCCTCTTTATTTTCTGGAACAGCAAAAAAGTCAGGTTCCCTTTGCCTTGAAATGATGTCACCCGAGGAAATGCCTTCTCTTGGCTGGGCGATACACAGTCCCACTGATAGCTCTTTGGAGCAGTTAGCAGCAGGAGTTTGTACTCCACCCTTTGGCATCTTTTGGCTTGTGGTAGGCCACATGTGCAATGTGAATGGCCAATACTGCTTGCCTCTCCTCCTCCCCCAAACCATATATTTGTAATCAGGGCAGGGAGCTTCCCTTCAGTTTATTTTTTGAATAAACTGAAGTTATTGGCCTTTGTCCTTGGCCCTTTTTATGAAAAATAATATCCTGCTAGGTCTCTGGACTCTGTATCCAAGATCATTAAAATAATTGCAATAAGAGCTGCATGAGTGTCTTTCAGGCTTTAGGGACCAGTGGTCACTGTGGGATCTAGCTACACTGACTGCAGCATTTCTAACTTGTTTATGTATGAGAAATTCTAATTTAATGCCCAGGAGAATAATCTGGTGTTGGAAACCATGTAGTATTGTCCTGTCTGCTTCAATTTTCTTTTACTTTCTTTTTACTGAGATTCTCTTTGCTAAGGGTAGTTCAGTTTGTTCTTCTAGTTAACTTGTCTTGGTCAGTGTAAGCATCATTGCCCCCCTTAGTTCTCTTGGTTGTGCAAAAGGTTTTAGGTTAGATGTTGGGAAGAATTTCTTTACTGAAAGGGTTGTTAGGCACTGGAACGGGCTGCCCAGGGAGGTGGTGGAGTCACCATCCCTGGAAGTCTTCAAAAGACGTTTAGATGTAGAACTTAGGGATATGGTTTAGTGGGTACTGTTAGTGTTAGGTTAGAGGTTGGACTCGATGATCTTGAGGTCTCTTCCAACCTAGAGATTCTGTGATATCTGTGAAAAGTGTTCTGTAAAGCAAAGAAAGAGAAGTTGTGAACTCTAGGCATTAGACTGTCTTGTGCTATTTTTCTATAACTCTGCACTTTATGGGTGGCATTTCTGACAAAGTCTCTGGCTGAGGGAAGTATTTGAAATATTTGAAATAAAATAAAATACATGAAATAATTAAATACACTAAATGCTAATAAAATAAAATAAAATAAAATAAAATAAATAAAATAAAATAAAGTAAAATAAAATAAAATAAAATAAAATAAAATAAAATAAAATAAAATAAAATAAAATAAAATAAAATAAAATAAATAAAATAAAATAAAATAAAATAAAATAAAATAAAATAAAATAAAATAAAATAAAATAAAATAAAATAAAATAAAATAAAATAAAAGGCAGAAGAAGCAGATAACTCAAGGTTGGAACAATAGCAGGCAACATAAAGTTTAGAGACTCTTTGCTGTCTACAGACTATTAAAACAAAAGAAGCCTGGGCCAGACTTCTGTCCTACATATGAACCTTTCCCTAGGTCAGACATCACTGCTCTTCAGTTCATGCCTCTGGCCCCCTCCAATTCCTTGGGGCTAGGACCCTATTTAAGTCCATCAGCTGGCACTCTTTCCCCTTGGCTGATTCCCAGCTCCTGCGTGCTGTTGCCATTTAGCAGGCCAGCTGCTTCCCAAAGTCCTTTCAGGGACCAACTGCACTGGGACATATTTAGAAGGGCAGGGTGTTGGAATGCCACTCAGTCTCGCAGGGACCTCAGTGGGAACCCAGCTCCATTCCTGATGTATAGGAAAACAGAAGGCTGCTTCAAGGGCACTGGGCTAGTGTCCAAAAAGAAACAGGGTCAGGAGTGAAAAAGAGAGAGAGAGTAGTAATTATTTTTGCCCAGTCAAGCTCTTCAGACTATTCTTGTCACCACCCAGCCCCTTTTTTTTCCATGGGCGCACAATTAGCTGCCTTCCTTGCTATTTTTCTGGTATTCCTAGATGTGCTAAAAATGAGCAGCTGAATGCCAGGGACCACTTTATCCAGCTCTCATGGGACCCTGGGGTGATGCTTATTCGAACTTTTTCTTTTAAATATTTATCCCTACAAAATACTACCTAATATTCCCTTCTGATACTAATGGCCAGGAAAATCTGACATCTTTCTCCTATGATAGAAACTCATCTTGCTCTTTCTAAGAACAGAAGAGGTATTTATTGAATATATCTCATCTGTGACAGTATTAATAAGATTATCATCTTTGCTTAATAATAGGTTTATGTCATCTTTAGGATATGTTTTGTTACCAACATTTAATGTTACTTATTTTATAGTCTTGTCTGTAACAGCTTAATTTTTTTTAGGAGTGTGTCTGTAAGCTTATTAATTTTCTTTTCAGCTTTGCTTGCTGTATATTGCTTTTTGACATCTGCTTTCATCTCCCAATGAATTTTTTATGTACCCTCCTTTCTCTTGATTATGGAACTGCACCACGTTGGCAATTCACAAAAGTCCTACATTTTCATTTCCCATCCAGCCCTCTCACAAGTTATAGTTCTTTAGGCTTTCTAAACCTACCTGTTACACAGGAAAACTGTTTCTGTCTGCCTGGACTGGCTGTATGCCTGTTGGTAAGCACTGGTCCTGCAGCAACCATCAACTTCTCGGTTGATCCAACTCTTTATCCATTATGATGAGATGATGAAAACTGCAATAGTGTTGCCAAGTTGTTACAGAGTCTGCATTTTGGTTGTTTATTCAAAATAATTAAAAATGGAATATTAATTGATTGCCACCACTTTTTTTTCTTTTTAATTTAATTTTAATTTATTTTTTCATTTATTTTAGAAGACATTATGTATTTCAGTGGAATAAATCTGCCTTTGGGGTAGATTTTCACTATGAAGTGAAAAGCCAGAGTTAATCCATCTGATCAGTTATTCACAAATGAATTTTAAAGGTGTCATTCAGAATCACAGCTGGCTGGAACCGAGGCCCTTTCATCCAGTGCTTTTTCTGAGTTCTTCGTCCTAAAACATTTATTAGCTGGGCTCTTAGCCCAGACCTACAACCTACACGTATCAGAGATGCAGACGGCAGCAAGTGCCTCTACAGTAAGCCAAGGAACTACTGCATGGACTGATGAACATTTAATGGGGAAATACAAACTGAAATATTTTCACAGCAACTAGCACAGCTATGGAGCAGGAATTGAAATCATTTCCACTTTTGTACAAATATAGCCAAAGCTACCATGTTTGGAGCTTTGAGATGCCTTTGCCATTAGGCCTTTTGCTGTTAAGATTACAGTAGCAATGATAGATCGACACAGTTTCAAGCATGCAAAGACTTCTAAGTCTGCTACAGGGACTAATACAGATAAATGGCATCCTTTCCAGGCAAACTTTATGGTCCAAAACCAGACACACAGGACATTCCCGGGTCACTTACATTTTATTGCTTCAGCTGAGATAATTCACATGATCTGTCTCTTTTATTCATCCTCCCATCCTAGGAGCCACCTGGCTTCTTCATCTTCTGTTTCACAAGCATTTACAATACAGCTGGTAGTCAAGGTTTACTGAGAGAGAATCTAGATAAGGGACAGATGTGCATTTAATTGAAAATAAAGGCTGCCTGTTTGTTAGCAATAAATCAGTGAATAACAGCCACAAGCACATAACTCTGGCCCACTTACTCATTGTTATAGCAATAACTTAGCATTTCCATAGCTCTCCAGATTGCTGCATCTTGCAGAGCTCACACTGAATAGCCTCATCAAGTTGTTTTGGAAATGGGTAAGTGTAACAGAGAGAATATTTAATTGGTCAAGCCCAAGGAAACAGCACAGTACACAAGAAAGCTGCACAGTATGTAGGCAGTCAGCTTTATCCAGCACGCAATCTTGTTGGCTGTCACTGTAAGATTGTTAAAGCTTGTGTCCTAGCCATCACTTGTCATGAGGATCTCTACAGAGGCAGGACCATCTATGTATGTTTCTCGCTCTAGCCACCCAGGCTCTTGGGGCTTGTTGGCTCCAGGGGATGCTGGTGGGCTGCTGCATGCCTGAGAGATGGCTGGGGAGGTACCAAAAAATGATGAGGTTACAGAGCTGAGATTGAAGACGCTTTGAAGGCAGGAGTGGTAATGGGAAATACTGGAGAAGACTGAATGTGAGAGGCAGATTTTGCAGGAGAGGGAAGTATAGAAGTGGAAAAGGGGGATACATGTATGAGCAGAAGGGAGGTAAGACTGTTGTATTGCGTGTGGGAAGAGATTGGGAATATAGTGTGTGTTGGAAGGCAGGTCAGAGCTGTAAGGCAGGGGAGGTATTAGAATGTTGGTCTGTGTCAGAGGAGATCCTCCCCATGCATCTGAACAATTTACCATCCAGTGGCTGAGTATGCAGTCTGACAACTGACGCACGGTGGCTGCAACCCCAACCCACCAGCTGCTCAGCAAAAGCTGCTGCCTGAGGCTGAGCTGGATGCACGTGTCTGATGCCTACCACCATTAACAAAATGGTTAACTTACACATACTCATCTGTGGTAAGTGTTTTAAATCCTCACAGCCCTTGATGCCCTGACTTCATGAACCATCTTTTTGGAAGAAAGGGGTGCTCATGAGACATGGGACACAGGACTGCAGGGACACAGCTACACAGCATAGATTTGGGAAGGTGGGTATGTGAACTGTATAGCCAAGGAAGATTTTTCTTGTAGCAAAGCCAGTAAGTTCATCCCAGTAAACCAGAATAAATCCAGATGTCATTCTCAGACATTCTGGTATGACTGTGGGCAAACAATATACCATCTCTGGTCCAAGTTTAGCAAGGAACATAAGCAAGGCTTGCTATCTAGCATATAGCAATGGGAAAAACAGTATGATATAAATATACTTCAAGACTTCTGAGGAAAAGTATTTTTAGGAAAAAATTTATAACAACTTTCCATAGATTTTGACTATCTAGGAATGATTCTATTTGGACTTCCCATGACTGGAAACAGCTTTCAGTACAACCCCAAAATCTTTCACTGTTTCTTTTCAACTTAAAACCAAAAATCCAACTCAGAAAATCTTTTGCAGTATCCCTTGCATGTGCTTTTTGCTTTTTGCAAATAAGAGGCTCCTTGACCACAGAGAAGCTCCTGCTCTGTGCAGGGCTATTTCCATCCAGACTGTGTTTGGACTCTACAAAACTCCCCAGCAGCTGTAGCCCTTGGGAAACCCAGCCCATTGAGAATAATGAGTGAAAAGCACAGGGAACTGGCAGAACTCATTCCCATGGTGTGTTGAAATTGAATATTTATGTTTAGCATTAAAAATAAAACAAAAAAACAACAACAACAAAAAACACACATCAAAATCATTTTCTCCTGAAAGGTCACTTTGATAAAAGCTCCTCATCAAAGCCTTGTATGCCTCTTCCTCTCACTTCAAACATCCCCAAAACATGCTTTTCCTCAAGTGCATGCATTTCTGCCTTCTAATAATGGCTTGGAAGGCAGTGAATTATGGACAGTGCTACTAGCTCATTAATGTCATTTTGGGGACAAAAGGGAGAGCCCCATGTGGGTAAAGTGGCATTTTGTATGAATTGGCAGAGGCCCTCGGCCAGCTCCCAGCAGTACAACTGAGGCAGTGCAAAACCTTAGCCCTGGCTTCTATCCTGTAAAGAGGCTTTCAACAGGGTAACTATCCTCAACTATTCCTCCAAGTTCAGATGAGAAATCTCTCTAAGAAAAAAGCTTATTTTGTACATGTTCATTTGTGTCTACTTTTAGATTGTTCTCTCATTTAACTATTTTGGTTATTTCGGTTACTGTGAAAAGAGTGCAGACCTTTGCCATCTCTGTTCATAACCTGCTTTTAGTTTGTTCATATTTTGTCTTTGAGTTTGGGCCCTGTATTACGCATTTATACAGCATCTAGCATAGTCCATCAGACATGGATTTTAAACCCATGATAATATATATGTTAGATTAAAATAATGGGATTCAAGGCTCACACTCCCTGAGTTACTGCTTTCCACTGCAGAGATTGCGATTGTTTCACCTCTGCTGTTCTGCCTGAGCACTTGAAGCTTCACATAACCATGCTTTGAAGTGCTTCTTCCAAGCTCACAATTTACTGTTTGAAACGTCTGATGTAATGCTATCTAATCCTTTCCAGGGCTTCAGGGAAGACAAGCTTTCAATTTGGTGAAAAATGTATTTCTGTAAGGTGATTAGAATAAAATGAAATAGAAACCACTTGTGGAGTGATCGTTGCAAGGCAGCTTGATAAGGGCCTCCCTTTGAATGAAGCAGAGGCCAGCTCCTGCCCTGTTAAAAGCAATGGAAGTTTTCCTGTCAGCCTCCATAAGCTCCAGATCAAACTACAGCTTCCATTCAGGACATTTTTTTATTTGTTTTTAATAAGGTTGATGTTCAGGAAGAGGTCAAATGTAAAACATAGGACCTGTTTTATAGGATCCCTGAATTTTTTTTTTATTTTTTTTTTAAGTGGCCATATAGATTAGAAGCCATACATGTAGGGTTTGAGCAATCTTACACCTGGTAGCAATCACTTCTCTGCATTATGCACTCCCTTCCTCAACATCATATGTGAGCAGATGGGGTCTTTCCTCCGAGGGTGCTTTTTATTCATGTTCTTGAATTGAAGTTATCACTGTGATCTTAAACCATTTTTATTAGAGAGTCTGTTTTCAATCAAGAGAGAAGGGGGGCTTGCAGTGAAGGAAAAACACTGGTGGGTAAAATGAACCACTACAGAGACAAAAATAAACAAAGGAGAATTTCCTCAATGTCCTATTTCATCTTCCTTTTTCCTTTTTATTAAATAAAACATACAAAATAATTTAACATTATATTGTTTTTATAAGCACTATCATTAAAGTAGATGCTTGTTTGGAACTGAAAAAATAGATTTGCCTTTCTTGCTTGCTCAATTTTTCTCTTTTTCTCTTTTTCCTTCTCTTTCTTTTGTTTAGAGTTTAATTCATAATGAGAAAAGAAATAAGAATCACTTAAGGAGGAAATATAGCCTCTTAGGACTCAAACTGTCCTAACAATTTAAAGCATGGGCATATTTTGTTGCTTCATTTTCTTGGTCTTCATATGTATGACTCTGAAATGGTGCCAGTAAATAAGAGAGGAAAACTAATGGTAATTTTAAATGCCCAACCTTTGAAAAATAAAGGTTGGTTCAGTTTTCAAATATTAACTATTGTAATAATACAGTCTGACATAGTAGTTCATGGAGAGTCCAGCTGTCATGATTTTGGCTGGGATAGAGACAGTTTTCTTCTTAGAGGTTTGTATGATGCAGTGTTTGGGATTTTTGATGAAAACAGTGCCTGCACACCGCTGTTTCAGTTGTTGCAGGGCAGCACTCACCCAGAGCCAAGAACTTCCTAGCTCCTCGTGCTGCTCTGCCAGTGAGGGGCTGGGGGTTCCCCAGGAGCTGGAGGGGACACAGCCAGGACAGCTGGCCCCAAAGGGACATCCCACACCACGGGGATGCTCAGTGATGGCAGCTGGGGGAAAGAAGGAGGCAGGGAGGCACTGGGAGTGGTGGTGTTTGTCTTCCCAAGGTACCGCTATGTGGGGAGCCCTGGGGTTGGCTGGCACCTGCCTGCTGGTGGGACGGGGTGAAGGGATTCCTTGCTTTGCTGTGCTTTGCCTGTGCATGTGGCTTTTGCTTTGCCTGGTGAACTGTCTTTTTCTCATCCCATGAGTCTTCGCACTTTTACGTCTCTGATTCTCTCTGCCATCCCACCTGGAGAGTGTGAGCGAGCGGCTGGGAGGTGCCCAGCTGCCTGCAAGGGTTAAACCACAACACCAGCTGAGAGCTGGGCATGAAAAATGAACAGCTCAGGTTTTGCCTAGGTTGGGGAAAGCATCCGAGGACTGTGATTACAAAGTCTGTGTTGCTCAAGTGTGGTGGTAGGAGAAATTTTGGCATTGCAGCTGCCATCTCCTTTCCTCTGCCAGTGGCTACCAGGAGGACAGGAAGGGTGTTGACACATTACGCAGCCTAGAGGTGGTAGCACTGACGGTTATGGGATGATTAAGCCAACGTGCCCAACTGTGGTGGCCAGCTGCTCATGTTGCCTTGGCCACAAGAGCCACCGCTTGCAAAGCAAAATCTGCCCAGCATGGTTCATTAGTAGTGACTGGCCAGAACCGGAATTTCAGATTAGATCACGCCAACGCTAGCTGGTTGAGCCCAGATTGGATTTCGGGTGTTGACATACAGACGTAGCAGATGAAACATTGATAGCCAAGGTGGTTGCAATCTCCAGCTGCCCCCCTGGGTGCCTCACCCACGGCTGTTACAACCCTTTGTGGCAAGAAAAGGCAAATCACTGGTAGACGTGGGTGCCTGTAGTATTCTGAATCATGAGATCAAACTGAATTTGTCACTAGTCTGGGGGCGTGCGCTACATTTACATCATTTAGGAGCAAAATGCATTGGGCTTGCAGCCTGCAGTGGCAGTGGGAGGGAGAGGTGTGGCAGCTGCCACAGCTGGGGGTGCTTGCTGCTGCTGCAGGCTGGGCTGTGTCCTACTGTGCTTGAAAGTCAACATCCTCAACCACTTTCCTTAGGGCAAATGTACCGTGACCCCAGTAGTTGTACTTTTAGTAAGCTGAGTTATAACATGGGCGGAACATAAACTCAGCCATTTCTCCAAGCTCACCCTGAGCCAGCTTGAGCTGATCGCTGCCCCTAAATTCTTACAGTCACGACAGATCTTACAACTGGATGCAAAGACCTTCTACTGAATTCTAGTGAAATGCTGGGGCCAGCTGGAGTGGACAAAACCAAGTTAAGCTGTTTAAAAACACCCTAAACCACATCATATCCTTTCCAGGGCCACTGCACAAACATGGTAGCAGCAATGATTTTTTGTTTTAAATAAATAAATTGAAAAACACTTTGCTAGCACTCTGGGAACAGCAGAGTGGATGAACTCCAAGAAATTTGGGTGGTCAGTTGCTGCCTGTGTACAGTACATATATCTTATTCTTCAAAGACACATTCTTCCCCACACTTAAATTATGGCCTTTCCTACTTGCACAAACTCAAAAGACCAGAGGAACCGGCTCTGAGTTAGCCCAACTTTTCCAGGGAAAAAGGTTATTCTAGTACAGTAAAGCTACATCTCCCAGCTTCATGCTGGGAAGCTGCAGACCTTCTTGGGGATGGGAACAGTAACGTAAATAATTCCATCGCCACCACTGAAAGGAGAGTGAAACAGAGTGCACATCTCCCAAAACAAAATTTTATTAAAATGCCCATTTTTTACATGTACATTTGAAAAGTTTTATTATAGTTGTGACTCCACAGAGTAACCCCTTCTCCTGTGCTTTACAAAGTCTGGAATTTCTGTAACAAATTCAAATTTACTAAAACCAGGAGATTTTTGATTAAAACTTGCTTTATATTCACTGCAGGAATGGTTTGGCCTTCTTGCATGAACCACACCTCATGCAGGCGAAGGCCTATAATGTTATAATGTTGACTCTCTCTCCAAATAAATAGCCCCCCACACTTTATTTTTTTCTAAAGGAATGTAGCCTCTCATTATGTGGAGTAAAACTAGCAACAACAGAATATTCAGTCCCCCAGTTCAGCAATATTTCTGAGTTTACAAAAAGTCACATTTAAAAATAATTTGTGTGCCTCTTTTAACATGCAAATTTCAGCTGGAAGTCAAAGAAAGCCAAAGATAGAAGGAGAAATACCGTGAGAAAAAAAAAAAAGTAGTATTTCAAGCCGAGTGCAACACAAGAGGTAAGGGAACTGACATTGACCAGATTAACAACTAGGCCTGTGTGCCAAAAAATTAAAGGTCTCCCGTTATTATCTTACACTCTCCCTTACGCAGATTGCTGGATCAGATCCCCAGATGATATCAGCCGCTGGGTGCAGCTACATTCATGCGAGTAGCATTACAGTGATTTAAGCTAGCTGATAATCGTCCTCACCGGTTTCGGGAAGTGAGCTTTATTATTCATTTGATTGAAAGGTATTTTCCAATTGTTTCAAAGTGGGAAATGTGTTTTGAATTCATCATTTTTTAAGCCTTACACACATTGTTTGGCAAACAAGAATTGTTTTGGTTGTCTGGGGCTCCTCTATCGCATCCTCCCAAATGTGAGATTTTCCTCTCTTCCCCAATGGGCCATTCTGGTCCGGTTAAGCACACAGTGGCCAGCTTTGCAAAGCAGTAAGCCTTCTTTAGAATGAGGTCTTTTGGTTTCATCTGTAATCTTTGTGGAAAAACTGGACATTACAGTAGAAGGATTATGCTAAATTGCCTTCTGCCACTGAAGGGTTGGACAAAGCAGTAGTTTAAGGCATGGAATGAGCATTCTGAAATAAGCACTTTGTCACTGAATTCACTAGCAAAAAAATTAACCTAAATGATTTCAATTTACATAAGTTTGTAATTTGCATCCAAGCTTTGCACCTTACAGAGACTCCCTTGTTTGCTGTTACTTTAGTCAGTGTTTGTTCACAGGCTGCTTAAAATCAAGCAGGGAGGTCAAGCTGGGACCAGATCCAGAGCTGACTCCCTTGCCTTGTCCGCCTATCCTCCCAGGGCTCGATGCTCTTCGGTGGACTTGAATGGTGCAAGACTGAGTCTGAAATCTGTTAGTACAATACAGGGGTTCCCCCATTACACTGGAATTTGTGAATCAAACCAGAGATCTTCATGAGAATATTACTGTTACACCACTTCTGTGCTGAATTGCTCTCTGTAGGAGACTCCGCCTTTCTCCCTCTCTTACTCTATAAATATTTTACAGGGGATGTATTATCTTTCTTTAAGACATAAAATATCACTTCTGGATGATCATATCCAAGAAACAGCTTTGGATGCCTATGAATTAGAAGAGGCAACCTTCATGTGCAGAGCTTTCACACTGGTATCCTAAATGTTCTTCCTACATATTTTGTATCAGACATTAACCACTCTCTTCTCCTGTCTTGCCTCACTCTTAGCCAGCAGATCCTGCACATTGATACTGCTCTCCTATGGTTTTGTTACCTTTCTGTTTTTCAGTTGGCCCAGAGTAATCTCCAAATGGAAGAACCTCATGGCAGGACAAGATGCCCACCAACAGCACCAGTCAGTTCTGCCCCAGGTGAAAGAAGGATTCAGCCAATGGCATCGCAAGGGCAAATGTATGTGGGACTCAGGCTGCTGTCTGTAGCTTTCCAGCTGACATTAGATGATGTGGTGATGTGGTCTTTGTGTTTGTGCAGCTTGTGCTGTGGTCACAGCACATGACTCTTCTCCATTCCCCTTTCACACAGAGGTTCCTTTTTCTCTAGCAGCAAAACTGAACCATGAAGAAAAGTTTTTCTGTTTTTCAGGTGTTATATCCCCTTTAGAATGACGCGATGCTGTACAGCATCTGTGATCACTGGCCACCGAGGTAGATATATGATGTGCTGTGGGATGCCGGAGTGTGCAGTAACAAGGTTGTATGAGCCTAACCCCAGTGCCCAACAGATGTGAAGGCCCATTTCAAGCTGTTAGTGCACTTCAGTACACAGGAATATTTACCCATGCAAAAATAATAGTGTTTTACAGAAATGACCCAATGTTTCTCAGCCAGGGTCATGAACCCTTTGAAGGTCATGAGAGCATTCAAAAGGGTCATGAAACTTTAGACAGCAGAAGTCAGCAGCAGCTCAGTTCCTCCAGAGAGGTGAAGTGAGAATAAGCTGTAAGTATTGGCTGTCAGTGCTTGCGCTGGCGAGGGAATTGTTAACTACACCACCCCTAATTGCTATCAGTGCTCTGTTCTGGCAGGGCATAGAGGAGAGCACAAGCACATGCACCCAGCAGTGACACCCCCTCTCACCCTGAAGGGATGGAGCTGCAGAGCGCTTGGGATAGGAAGGTCATGTGGAGAAAGATGAACTGAAAGGGAAACGTGCTTTATAAATGTTTGAGGAACCCCAGTAGAGCACAGTGCTTCTGCATTAGAGGAGAGGAAGGAAGGCAGTGCCTCTGGTGCTGTGTAGGGTCTGCCTCAGGGCTCAGTGTTTGCTAACACCACCTTGTCCATAGGCTTCAACAGCTTCTGCCATTTTGTTTATTGCTTTTCTGCTTCCTGCCTTGTGTCAGCGTAAGGGTCGCTTCAATCTTTTCATCTAATTGCTGTACAAATGATTTAGCTGGCTCACATATTAGCTTTTTTTTTCTTTCTTTCTTTCCTTTTTTTTTTCTTCCCTTTGTTCCCATACTTTGCAGGCCCTGAAGAGCTAAATTCCGGTGTGAAAGGTTTAAGGCTCCAGACAGTTGTGAAACAACTTTGGCAAATTAGCATCATTGGTTGAGATTAGTCTTGTAGTTGTTATGTGACATCTGAAGACAAAAACCTGTAAATCTTTTTAAAATGCTAGGCCAATAGCTTCGATATGTAATAAATACTGGAATTCTGTAAAACATTGCAATCCATTTTATCATCTTTTCTAAACAGAAAGAGTGAAGTCAGGAAATTCATTGCTGAGGAGTTAAACTTCTCTTTGAACCTACTTGATACTAAACATTTGGGGAGTTAAAGCAGCCAGGTTTCAATGTAAACAGGCAAAAGACTAAATTAAATGCACAAAGTGAACTATTCATTTTTCCTTATGTGTTGAGTGAGCTCTTATGATAATGGGATAATAACGCTTTGTAATCATCTTGCGCTTTCCAGCCGAAGAAGTACAGTAAAGCTTTAATCTTTTTAGTGCCACTAGTTAAATGTTATCTGCCTTACCTGCCTATGCTCTATCCTCGGCTATAAGCATTCTCTCTCCTTCATTCCTGCTCTCTCTCAGGCGACACACCCATACTTCCTAGGTGTACTAGCATAGCATTTACCAACAGCAGACACAACCACCTCCTCATCCAAAATTACCACTTCCTCAGACCTGCCAGTTCTTGGTACACTCCCAAATCCGTTTTATCTAAATCAAGTCTAGCTTACTCTAGCCTTTAAATAACAGATTTTTACCAAGCAAACTCACTTGGATTAGAATAATAAAGGCAGAGACTCCATGAGCTATTCAGTCCCTACTTCTGAGGAGGCAATATACTAGATTAGGTGGGAAGTGAGGTGTGGAGGGGGATGCAACTGCTGCAGCCATTAGAGCTGCAACTTGATAAGATTATGCAAATGACATTATTATTAGTATGCAGCTGTCAATTCCCCCACCTGCTTTTCCACTTCTTATTGCCTGTTACTCTAATTTTTTTCTCTACAAAGTTTGGATTGTCTCCCTTGTTCACTAGTATGCACAAGAAGGGCTCCCCAGTTCCCCAGTCTGTTATATTGGCTCTTTAAAACTCACCTCTGCTGAGATGCTTGGTAGCAGCTGGTGGTCTGTGCTCTCTGCTGGATGCTCTGATCCAAAGCAGCATCTACAGCCTTCTGCTCCGCGTGCTATGTTAATCTCTTTTCTTTCCTTATCACCCAGACTGGGTATTAATTTCACAGCTTTTCATGCTGTATGGAAGACACATAGAACTACGTGGCCCCAATCAGACAGGCATCCCCAGAAATACAGCAAAGGAGCAGGAACATCAGCCAAGGATATAAGTGGCTCCCCCTACCTCATGCACAAAGGCTGCCGCACAGGTGAGGAGAGAACTCTGATTTGTCTTGGTTATTTGTTGCGACCACTTACTCCTCCTTCCTAGCATCCCTTTCCAAAGCATGCTGACATCAATTAACCTTTTCATTGCATTGAGCCTTTGCTTTTGCCTGTATGTGGAAACTTCTGTAACGCCAGCAGTCCTCAGGAACTGCTGGTAGAGCCCAAAATGATTGTTTATCTTAAGGCTTAAAATATGAGGAGAGAGAATAAAACGAATAGGAAGAACAAATTCACATGCCAGAAATTATATCTAATCTTTGTAGGGTAGGACTGTGCAGGCAGGAGGCCTGCAAAAGGCTGCCTGGTGGCCAGGCTGGGACGTGGAGCCTGGGACGTGGAGCCTGGGACATGCAGCCTCTGACTCACCTGGAGGAAAGGATTTGCTCCAAAGGGTAGTTTCCAAGGGGCTCATTTTTTCCAAGAACACCGCCTTGCACTGATGGCATGGTTGCACTGACTTCAACTGGGCTCTGCCATGGGCTGCCTGACAAGCTATGACAAGCTGTGACAACTGCCTGTGCTGGGGCATGGCAGTGGTCACAACCAGCATGCTACATGGCAGAGAGGAGGCTGTAGCTTGGTCGTTTAGGCAAAGGTGCCTGGAAGGTATCTTCTATGGGGCAGGCACTTTGGGGCATGCTTTAAAAAATTTCTCTGCATGCCTACAACCAACAATAGGCCATTATTGAAAGTGTCCCCAAACTGCAGTCCTTTGCACTAACATTTTTTAAATTTTCTTTTATCCTCTTTTTTTCTTTTTTCTTTTCTTTTTTCTTTTCTTTTCTTTTCTTTTCTTTTCTTTTCTTTTCTTTCTTTCTTTTCTTTTCTTTTCTTTTCTTTTCTTTCTTTTCTTTTCTTTTCTTTTCTTCTCTTCTCTTCTCTTCTCTTCTCTTCTCTTCTCTTCTCTTCTCTTCTCTTCTCTTCTCTTCTCTTCTCTTCTCTTCTCTTCTCTTCTCTTCTCTTCTCTTCTCTTCTCTTCTCTTCTCTTCTCCTTTCCTTTCCTTTCCTTTCCTTTCCTTTCCTTTCCTTTCCTTTCCTTTCCTTTCCTTTCCTTTCCTTTCCTTTCCTTTCCTTTCCTTTCCTTTCCTTTCCTTTCCTTTCCTTTCCTTTCCTTGGCAGGGGGGCAGAGCAGGAGAACCTTTACCCAGGGGCCATCCCATGCTACAACCTTCTCGTATTGGTGTGGACCAAAGGACAGGGGAGCCAAGCTGTTGACGTCACCTCACCTCAGCCATAGACAGGGCTCTCTCTCACACCCTCCCTCGCTGCCTGCACAAGGACGTGCTTGGCTGACGGAGGCCAAGCTGCGCTGCCCAGTGACATCAGCTCTCCCGGTACGCACATGTGCTTCCATTTCAGAGACTCCTTTCATTTGCTTCTCATCCCTGTAGAAAGAGGATCCCTTCCTCCAAGTTCAGTGCTTACATTTTCCTTGTTACAAAGAACATTTTCCTATAGTTTCTCTTGGGAATGTTTTTATTGTCCCCTGTTGTTCTCTCCCTGTATTGTTTGCTAGTAAAATAATTGGGAAGTACTTATAGCAGCTGCTTTTTTCTCTTCCCTACCACAAAAGTTGTATCTGATTCTCACTAAAGCAAGATTTAAAGATGACAGCTGTCTTCTGTGTGGTGACAGTCACTGTAAAGAGAAATGTGGACTGATTGCTCTAATTTGATCCTGTTCATGCTCATTACTGCAGTAATCCAAATGTTCTCTATTTGCTGAATAAGGAAATATCAGTAGGATTTCTGGTCTGAAAAAGAGCTATTTGGCTGACTACAGGTTTGCTGGAGCAAGCTCCCTATAGGGTCTACACTAAATCCTTTGTTTATTTCGCTCTGCTGAAATTGTTCAAACGGCTTCTCATTATCATTGGGTGGGACTGAAAAGAAGCACTGATGTCATTTTTGTGACATGTCCTGTTACTTAAGAAATTCACAGTTTAGGCTGGGACACATTTGACCTTCCTAAATAATTGGCTATGTAGTGTTTTTTTTTTTTATATTTTTTTTTATTTTTATTTTTTTTTCCTTAGCATGAATAAATGAAGAATGAACAAGCTAACTACTATTGGCAAGGAAAGAACTTCTAGTAAACAAAACTCTCTTATGATTTCCATGAGCTCTTGTAAATATCACTCTGTGTTTGTCCCTCCTAAATCATATAACACTCTATATCAAACCTATCTGCAGAGTTTTTTGAAAATTCTCCCTGGGAAGGGACTTTTTAAATTCAAAAGGCTTCAGACTCTGTCAAGGATATGTGCTACAAGGCTCCCAACAAACTCTGGCCCTCTCAAGGTTTTGCTCAGCTTCAGGCCTATGATAAGCCATACTCAAGTTAATGGGGTAGTCCATTAATTTGCAAGTTAATGTATTAACTCGTAAATTAGCATTAAATTGTATTAAACTGTAAATTAACATTAATTCACAAGGCTTAAGCACTTCTTGAGAGAGCCCAACAGAGTGCCTGGATGCTGACTCAGTGCCTACAAGAAAGAGGCCTCCTAGGCTGTGCTGCCATCATCCAATTTCACGACACTTGCTCCTAAGGCCCTCAAAGATGAATGAGGAAGTCATGTTCTCCCTGGAGGTTTTCAAAGCAGTAAGCCCTGAGGAAGCGTACACCTTCCACAATCACAAGTACACTTCAGCAACTTGAGAAATAACAGGGGAATTGGTTTACCAGTTCTCCCATGGCTGCTTACACAGATGTGGATGTAATTTTCACATCTACACATAGAGTCTAACATAGAGTTCGCAGCAGTGTGTCAGCTTGTGGAGCTGAAACATCATGGAGGATTTGGCTTGCACTATATGAAAGAGGTTTTAGAGGGTGACTGCTGTGTGTCACGTTCTGTGTTTCACAGCTGACATTTGTCTCCGAAAAAGCAGAGCTCAATGAAAAGGCTAAATGTTCACAAGGAACCTCTTTACTGTGGGGTTAATGAGGACTTGAAAGGACTTGCACTCTGGCCTTAGCTGTGTATGTTTGTCTTTTCTTTTACTTTCATCTCTCCTCCTTAAATCCTGGTCTCTTTTCATTCTTTTTTGCTGCTTTTAATTTGTGTCTCTATATTAAACCAACCAACCTTCCTTCCTTCCTTCACTCTTTCCTTTCTTTCTCTCTTTCTTCTCTTTCTCTCTTTCTTTCCTTGTGCTGTTTTAGGTTCCTGACTGACAGATTGTTAACAACAGAAATCACAAAAGTGTCTATTGCTTGAACCCACTCATGGCCTCTCTTGCTAACACACTATGACTATTAGTGATAACATTACACAGCAAACAATATAATTGACTCAGAAGGAAAAAATTGTTTTTGTTTGAAGATGTAAAGGTATAATTTTACAGGGTTTAACTTGGACTTTTTTTCCTGATCTGCAACACATGGCCAGATGAAATAGTATTTCCTTGTTTTAATGCATTTTATTTCCTCCTTTAAAAACAATAAGCTCATAAAGTCTTGTTACATCTCATGGTTAAGAAGAGAAATAGTGTATATTTTCACACAAAGAGCACTGTGTATCCAAACAGAACAATGTACTTGATGCTACTTCATATACACTATCTTCTATACTTAGTAATGTATAGTATAAATAGAAATATGAACCTGATAAAATACAATTATTTCCCTACTTTTCAACACAAACACCAGAAAAAATACTCTTTCAGATAAAGTAAGACTACTCTAACATTCAGGAAATAAGGGTGCAAAAAGGCTCTGAATTAAAAATTCAACCTTGAAACACAGTTCATGTGTGTAAATAGAAGAACACCTCAGCTCACCGATTCTAACATCTGTAATTCCACCTGTCTTTAGTGAAGCTAGCATCTGCTCCCAGTGGTCTGATATACCCTTGTGTTATCTGTCAATCTCTACTTTATAAAGGCAACATTCATTCTTTTTGAGCCTAAGGAAAATGTACTTTAAAATTGACTGTGGAATAACTGGGAAATAATAAATTACAGTTTCACCACTAAAAAGTTTTATAGGACAATGTATTTAATAAGGCTTAGATTTAATGTAAGTTTGTAGATAATTGGATGAGTTACCTCATCAGACTGAATTGTCCAGATTCCCAGGATAGATCAGTTATCCTAGTTTTCATATTTCCTTATATTGCCTTCATCTCTTCAGGCTACACTTATACTATAAATTTAACAGTGTGAAGGAATATTCCCAGGCCCTGCAAGTCAATCTTCTATAGTTTTAAATTATAATAGAAGGTTCTGGCGTATTTTTGGCCCATGTCAGCAGTTTCTCAAATTGTTCCCATGCATGTTTGTGAGATTAGCACATGGCAGGAGCCATTCCCCATAGGCAGTCACCCTGTTTTGTAGAGAAAGAGATTTTAATATACTGATGCAGTATTTAATAAAATTTAGTAGTATTGATTTTGGCAGTGCTCCATGCCAGGTGGCCTCACTGCCAGACAAGAGTCCTGGCCACATTTTTTTTTTTATTAGAGATATGGTCTTAGTGTCTAAGCATCCACCGGTTGTATGTTAAGTGGCAGAACTAATACTACAATATATAATAGAATTCATCCTTCAGGAGAACAGTTAGGATAATATGCAGTTTTTGGCTTTGTAATGCCTAGTGTATTTGCTCCTCTCATTGAATGCATTGTACCTCTCTAAAGGGCAGGTGGAGAAAATACAGTGAACCCTATAAAGATCTTTTCTTACTTGGGGAGTTCATTCCTGCCTCTTAAACAAAAGTGTAGCTTAGGCTGAAGTGTAGCATTTTGTCCTGGGAGAGAAAGATCTTTTGTGCTAAAAGGATCATCAACCATGTGCCTTTGAAATATTTAAAGATTTTTAGGGTATGCTGAAACATAGGAATTTAGACCCTTCACTTATCAAGACCTGCATTCCTGAAGAAATGTTCTCCAACTTGAAGAGCCTGCAGAATTTTCCTACCTCTTAATACCTTAATGCCCAGATGTTCTGGGATGTGATAATACACACACACAACCAGACAGCAAAGGCATGTACAATTGCAGTCAGCTTGTTGTCCATAAGAGTTAGACAGACTGTGGAGTTGCTGTGCATGATGGCATTAGCATGATCAAGAAATTAATAAGCATTCCTAAAGAAATCCCTAAATTAACCAATTTATTTGAATGAACCAATGCCTTTAGATTAACTACACTTCTACTTCTACACCTTTACTGTAAAGGCATTTTGTACTAATCCTGCAGAATTTTTCAAAGCATTTTTGTTTACCCACCTGTCTACCCCCTGGTTTGACCGGATTAAGCCTTGGAAAGCTCTGTTTCACCACAAGATGATCTCATCCAAGATCTGTAAAGCACCAGTGGAAGAGGTACAGACATAAAGAAGGTAATGTTGTATCCTCTGTACATCAATGGTGTTTAAATATGTGTTGCTTCTATCTATGTTTTTCATTTGAAAAATCTTGCTCCAACTTTAATACTTCCTGGTTTACAATAAAAATGTAACCAATGGTTTGTGTGGTCTTTTTTAAACCTCCAGTGAACCTGACTGATACTTCACTAAGGGCAAGCTTTCAACCTCTAATTACGCAGTTTGAGAAAGAAATTGTTCACTTTCACAAATCACAGCTCAGTTCTTGCATTGAGCAACTGTTTGGAAAGGAAAAACATTCATGGGATGTCTTCTGTCAGACCACAGTGCTAGAGATTCAAGGTACTTCCAATAAAATGGAATTCTCTCAATAAACAAGTAATGCATGCAGAGTAAAATAAAAGAAATGGTAGAAGGACAAGACAGGCAATGATTTTTGGGACAGTTTTTGAAACAGCTCAATGTCTTGTAATATTGACTCTATATTAAAATAAAATCAAAAAGGTTTTATATTTCTGACAATCCAAAACTCTAGGTCTTGTAAACAACACAAAACAGAAATGTGAAAGGTTTTTTTTTTTTTTTTTTTTTTTTTTTTTAATTTGGTATTGATTCTGGAAAGTATCTGTGTGTTTGGGGTTATTTTTGCTTGCTTTTGGAGGGAGTGTTGTTTTTGTTTGTTTTTGTTTTGTTTATGTATGTATGTATGTGTATATTTTTTTGCTAAGCTAAGGCCTCCTTTACAGAGAATCACCAAGAAAAATGAAGTCATTGTTAGCTGATTTCATACCTATGCAGTCCGGCCTGGAAGTCCTGCCACCAACGACGTGTGCTACGCGAACAAAATCTGGGATTAATTAAGTGAGAGTGAACTGCTAACCCATTTGAACTGTCATGTTGAAGGTCTGGCACAAAGGATCCAGGAGTTTACAAAGACTAATCACCATCGCAGGGTCCTGTGGGCTACTCTTCACACAAGTGCCTCTGTAGTTAAATGAGGCTTCAAAGTGACTGTTGCACACTGAGAACAACAAAGACAGAGACAAGGAGATGTTCATTGGACATTGATTTGCTTTTGTTCAAAGACAATGCTTTGCTCTCTTTATAAAAGCAAAAATGATCTTAGCTTTAATGTCATCTGTCTAATCACAGCTTCACAGCCACTGACATCCAGTGAGAATATAAACTATACAGGACAGATTGTTGACTCCTTGTTTAGGAAAGCTAACCATTCCTATTTTAAAGTCCCATTTATAATTGTTTTAGACTCCACAAGAGATTAATATCTGGGGTTATTTTTTCATGCAGCATGTCTGCTATCTGCTTATTATAGTGTCAGAATTTTGAAAGTCACTTAAATCACCTGGAGATCTCAGCAGTAAAATGAGCTCAATATAATGACCAAAAGGAAATTTCCTGTAATTTTGTAGTTTGAGCAGTTGCAGCGTAGACTTGGGCGTAGACACTGAACCACTGAAGCAGGGTTCATGCTGCAAGGTATACTTAAGATTACAGGGTTTTTGCATGGTCTACAAATACTATCAGTTTTCTGGGGACTCGTTTTGGGCTCTGAACTAATAATTCTAACCTTGCTGGTGTCCTGTGCATGTGTCATGTGATGAGAAATGATATAGTTTCTGAAGGAATTTTTTTTTTTAGTTTTGTTTTGTGAGCTCTTCAGAAGTTACACATTATCAAAGAAAAAGTATTGTTTACAATAAGACTATTGTAAGGTGGTGAAGTCAAATACACCAAATATCCACTCTTACAAACAAAATTAACTAGGTTTTCAGGAAAGTGAGGTAATTGCAACATCCTAGAAGGATTTGATTGAAGGATTTATGGACTTTTCTGCCACATTTTCTGGCAACACTGTAAGCATTAAATATAACAACCTCACTTTAATCTCATAATTCCACTCAGCTTGTTTCTTTCTTTTTTCTTTTTTTTTCTTTTTCTGTTATTTTTCATTAGTTCTCTTGCAGCCATATATAAGACTTCTTATCAAGATCTGAATCCCATTTTTTTATCTGCTTTATTTGTGTATGAAGACAATTAATACACCAGAGTTCACTGAAAGAAATTGTAATAGATATCTACTCCACAGCCCATTAAGACACAAAGGTAAAGAGAGGATTACCAGCATTAGGACCACCTGGAATGTCTTCAGCATTGAGAATTCATCAGAAGATGGCATTGCATCAGTTGGAAAACGCTTTGTGGTTATGTATTTGTTTCAATTGCCTTTCATTCAGAAGCAATTTCAGGTCTTTGTGGGAAAGAAGGGCATACAGGGTTTGTAGAAAAGCTTGAGAACCCAAGAAGCAAAGTTTTGACAACACTGTTTCGCAAGAGAAACTTCAAGGTTTTATTTCTACTTGAATTCTGAAATAAAATCAAATTTTAAAAGCAACCCATGAAAGAGATGTGACCAAACTTATCTGATGTATTTGCTTTACTAATGAAGGATATGAGCTGGAATATCTAAGTATACTGCAAGTGGATATCGATAACTCATGATACACTTCCCCTTCTTCTTTATTCTTTTTATATGCATTTATTCTGGGTTGCTGTTAAATACAGTCAGTGTCAGCTTAATAGACCCCACGAGCTTAGACCAGTGTTTCTGTTCCTGTGTTTTAGAAAATATAGTTCTCAGGTTCTTACTGAAAGTTTTTTAGTAATCAAGGATATTGAAAAAGATGAGTAGAAATGGAGGGGGAATGAAGCTTTTTCATATATGTGTCAGACAGAAATCTCTGCACCATGTGTGATCTCTGTTCTACAGAATTCAGACAAGAAAAAGACAAGCCAAAAGAAAACTTTCAAGTGCTAAAACAGTTCATCCTGTTTTCAGAAAAGAAACCAAGCAGAAAAGCTTAGATGACACCAGAGCTGGAAAGATCAAAGAGAAAGCAAGAATGGTTCTGGAAAAAAAAAAAAAAAAAAAAAAAAAAAAGCTTTGCTTTCACATCCTACATTTGGGTTTGAAAAATATGGATATGGTTGTGGCTAGACATCCTTGGCCAGCCCTGGTGGTGCCAGCTGAGGACATTGTCATGGCCAGCCTACTCCCATCATCTTGCTACCATGCCCTTGGGCAAGGCTGCTCCATCCTCAGATCCTCTGTCTGAGACAGACAGCAGGCTAAAAGTGTCCCTTTTTAGTTAAAATAAGCTCTGTGAGACAATACTATTGATACTCATTAGACTAGCTGGGCTGTGTGTGCCCACACCAGTCAAGGAAGCACCATAACAAGCCTTAAGGCCAACACGTTTAAGGGCCAATGACCTCCAGAGGTGGGACAGAGACAGAGCACTGGTGTATTAGATATACGTGGCAGAGTTTTGGTAGTGGGGGGAGCTTCAGAGGTGGCCTCTGTGTGCAGAGCCCAGCAGCTGCCCCGTGTCAGCTCAGAGTCAGCTCCAAAGAGCTCCAAAGGGGACCTGCTCCTGGGCCAGTGAGTGATACTGGTTGTGCCTCTGGGAGAGCAGAAAGGAAAAACACTGATGCATCTGTGCAGATGGGAGAGAAAGAGTGAGAACCAGCCCTGCAGCCCCCAAGGTGAGTGCAGCAAGAGCATTCCAGGCATGGAGCAGAAGTGCCCTGCAGACTGTGGAGAGGCCCTGGTGCAGCAGGAAGTCTCCTGCAGCCCCTGGGTCCCACATGGAGCAGATCTCCACACTGCAGCCCCCCCATGGGTGGAGGAGCCCCCAGTGGAGCAGGTGTATGTGGCCTGGAGGAGGCTGCGGCCCATGGAGAGCCCCCACAGGAGCAGGCCCCGGGCCGGAGCTGCAGCCCATGGAGAGGAGCCCATGCAGGAGCAGAGGGTTCTGGAGGGAGCTGCTACCATGGGGGACCCATTCTGGAGCAGTTTGCTTCTGATGGATGGATTCCATGGTATGGAACCATACTGGAGCAGTTCCTGAAGAGCTGCTGCCTGTGGACAGCCCCCACAGGCTCAGTTCGGGATGGACAGCATCCCCTGGGAGGGGCCCCATGTGGAGCAGGGGCATATTTTCTCCCTCTGTCGTTTGGAGGAAGAGGAGTGAGAAAGAAGCATGGTGGTACTTGGCTGCCCTTCAGCATTAAACCATCACAACTGGAGACCATGGTATGGGGGAAAGGGGCTAGATTTCCCCATGCCACAGAGTTTGTAGGAGTTGTATCAGTGGCTTGTTGTCTGTTCAGACAAGCTTGCCCATGGGGACGTGAGGCAGGTAAGGAAACCCTCATTAGCTGACCCACCAACTCATTAAAGGTGGAGGCAGCCCCTAGCAGGATGAGAGAAGAAACCAGAGCAGGTGGCTTCCTGGGTTGGTAAAGGGATGTACAGGGTGTTTACCTATACATGGATTCAGTTTAACAACAGTTTCCCAAAAGGTAAAATTCTCATTGTTTCCAAAGACATGTTCTGCTTTCCCACGCATACAGTCTTCTGCTTTGCAGTTTTAATAAGTATCTTCCTCTATATGCCATTAATTGTGTGGTTTATAAGAGGCAATAGGAGCATGGGATTTAGCTCGCTGGCCAAGCGAGCCGTTTGCCTTGTGTGGTGTGAGTTTACCAATCGTTTTGGAACACTTTGGGTTCCAGAGAGTTAATGCTATAGAAGTCTTTTAGAAAAAATGGACAGAGGTGATTGCAAAGCTATTGGGCTACACGCAGCAATCCTTAGTATAACGGCTGACGGCAGTATTTATTTTCATTTGATCAACAGTGAGAGCAGGGCCTGTCCCAGACTTCTCTCACTCCATTCAGAAAGCAATGTTTATGGACAGCTGCAGGGAGTTACTCACAAGAGGCTTAAGCAGGGAGGGAAAAAAGGGCCATTCCTCCGGGCCCACCCAGCCACTGGATTTTTCAGCTGAAGGGCAGACTCAGTTTCATCCCAACTGGCCAGTGAAAACTGAGCCCAAGCAACTGTCAGGATCACAAAAGCTGGAGAGAGAGAAAGAATGAAGATAAATGTATGAAATATATGGGCGAGTCATTCTCCTAGACCTGCCTGATGTTCCTCTTGTTTGGGCACTGTCAGATTTAGCAGTGGTTTGTGGGTTAACACAACATTTAAAAAAAAAAAAAAAAAAGAAAAAAAAAAAAGTAATTCACAGACATCAGAAAGATGTTTGGGAAAATGTTTAAAGTGCTTTTTAGTTCAGAGACTCTTTCAACACCAATAGCTCCACCTGTTTCAAAAGAGATGCAGCTGATTTGCACAAGTAATTCCATGCATTTCCCCTTTCTTGGTCTGGATGTAGGGAAAAAACTTGTAGAAGAAGGATTTCTGCCTTTTAGGACTCAAGGACTTATTTTAATGACTTACTGGTACAAAGCTTTTGAATTTCTTAGATGTGTTTTGGGGGTTACACCACTGTTGGGATTTGGAGAGGTTAAAAGAAAAAGAGGAGTTTTCTCAGTCTCATGGACAGGGAGCCAAGTCCCATCTGTTTCTCAGCCTCCTGAAGACATAAAGTACCAGTTCTGTCTGTATAGAAGTGGAGCAACACCTCCTTCCTTTTTCAGTTACTGCACTATATACTCTGATGAGGTCTCTAAATTTAAGGAATTAACTCATATGTGACATTTACTTGAGACTTTAGCAAAAATTCTGTCCTTTTATACCACATAGTTATCAGTTATGCACTGTAAATCTTCTGTAACTTACAAAAAAGCTTGATGTGCAATTCAAACTGTTTCTCTTGTGTTCTGGGGAAATGCAAATATCTTATCCATGAGTACCTTGAATATGGAATCAAGCTGTTTACATTAAATCTATGTTGCCTTAACATAGACTTCAGTTATGATTGCTTATTTATTACAGGTAGTCTTCTGCTTAACTAGAAGTTGGTTAGATTTTCAATTTGATCAAAGCTACTGAACAAGCTGGAAAATATTTCATGTTTCATACTTAATTCTTTGAGAATTAGAATAAATCTGAACGCTGTGTGAAATATTAACAATCTCTGTTCTTCAACATGTGGAGTTTGCACACAAACAGAACAATTTTCAAGTGCTTTTAGCAGTGGCTTCCATGTCAGTGTAAAAAGAGTTACCATTAATTTTTTTTTTAATTGTGAAAAGAATAATTTTAATAGTAGTACATAGCACATTTCGTCACAGGAGTTGAGACAAACATTGATTAATAAGACTTAGAACATCTATGAAAGCATTGATTTTAAACCTGTTTTATCAATTACCACAATCTCGAAGCTCCAGTGGGTACTCTTCAATTCTTCTGCTGCTAAGGAGGTGTTGCACCATTATGTGCCAAATCCAGATATAGGGTAAAAACATCTAAAAGGTGCAATAGTTGGAAGCTAGTATGCGATATTCAAAGTGCTGGTCCAGTGACCTGCTCTACCAAGAAGGGTAATGAATATTAAGAATAAATGTTTTCCTGTACCCACATTTGGTGATCACTTTGACCCCAATCATGGGACAAGACACAATAGCAAAACATGTCAAAGAGGACTCTCTGTAGCATTTCTGTTACTGATTTACCTCGTCTGGTACTCTGTCTCCAGGGATAGTAAGTCTCTGAGACTTCAGAAGACTTGAAACATTAACATGAAAAACATTGCTGAGAACAATGTGGAGCTCCTTTTTCTTTTCTAGAACCAAAAGAGAACAAAAAAACCCAAAAAACAAACAACTAGAAACAGACTCACAGGACTCAATATAGGAATAGACTGAACCAAAAAAATAAGTCTCTATATGGTGATTTTTACGGTAGCTTTTATGACAGTATCAATATCAAGCCATTGGGATTAATAAAACATTGCAACTGTCATTCTGCATTCATGCCCAGCCAACAAGCTGAGCTTCAGTTAGGATTTTTAATTCCCAGTAACATTAAGCGTGTCCATGTATATTTTGACAAGGCAGATTCATAAAGAAATACCTGGCAGCACCACTTCAGTATCACTCAGTACCCTCCAGTCAGCAGTGTTACCACTTCTTAAACTAACACTTCAATTTAAAAGAAAAAAAAAATCTTTAAAAACTGCAAGAAAATAAACTTTTGAGTAGAACCAAGGACAAGTTCCCAAAGAAAGCCACAATCCTAAACCCTCACATAAATCTTCACTTGGCATTTAAGGCTGCAATTTTCTTACTTTAGAGGCTGTATGTTTTCACTATGCTTGTAGACGATTTTTAAGTCTACCAAGTCTACCATACCACTACTGGTGGTATGGTTGGTTTTGAAAAGAGCCAGTGCCACCTTCTCTGTCTAAATCTACTTCCTCCCATAATGAGTTGAACTTCATGGTGAAATGTAAATGAATTGCAAATGAGCTTTTCCCTAGGCATCCATATGCTATAGTGAGTCCAGAGTTCCTAACTGGTTGAAGTGCGAGTAGCAGCGGAAGGCACAGTTGGATTCATCTGCAAGCCATACACCACAGGGAAGAGTAGCTTAGAGGTTTCCTCACACACTGTTCC